ACAGGAAGGGTTTCTGAAAACGAAAAATGTCAAAAAAAATTACGGAAATAATTTTTTTTTGTTCAATGAGTTGAAAAACTATTATGATCATTTTTACAACCAATTGATTGAATCAGTGTCCTCAGACGTAATACAATTGAACATTTAAATTGAAGCAATAGTTAGCAGCAAGACCATTTGTGATGTTTATTTGATAAAGAATTTTGTTTGACAATGTCTTAACAGGTGGAGAACAAAAAAGAAATTTTCTTAATTTCAAAATAACTAAAATGAACATTTAATTTCATTAGCCGGAGAGTTATCTCTTTTAGATTGTTACACGAATTGAAATACTAAAACTTCCCATTGTTTTAAGAAAATCAAACAATTGGGTCCTTCTGAAATACCGTCTTGAGTCTTACAAGCTTCAGCCAACGAAATAGCATCCCCAGTAAAACAATTATTAAACAAATAACTCGCTTTCAATACTTTTCTGGTAAAATTAAACTGATTAAAATAAAACTTTTTGTTCGAATTAAAGAATACAGAAAAAGCAGCAAACTGTAGATATATTTTTCTACACCATCCTTAGAAAAAAAATTTTGAAAAAACTTAACAACAAATGATTGAGCGCCTTGTGATTTCCACTTGAAAAGTAAACTTCATTTTGACGATTAAAGACGGCTTTGTACCAATGATGCCTCCTTGTTATTAACGGAAATAATCAGAGGTTAAGTCGATAATAAATCGCTGACTGCGGTTGTTTTTTTTTGATTTGTCGAATCTTTTTAACTCAATTTATCTATTTTTTTTATAGAAAATTTGAATCAGTAGGTTTTGATTTGTTTGCCGTAAGCTTTATAAAGAGTTATGCTACAAACTGACATCATAAAGTTGTCATCAATGGAAAAGAATTAGATGGGCTCACAGTCGTAAGAGGAGTTTTTTGAGGTGCAGCCTTTGGACCCCTTTTTATGCAAAACGGTAGCATGAAATCATACAGTATGCAGATACTACCATACAGCTGAGTGACGCTAAAAAAATTAGCACAATATCGCTGATGATCTGCACAACATCGCTGAAGATCTGCACAACATCGCTAATTTTTAAAACTTTTTCCATGAAAATTTTTCAAAAATCAATCAAGACGAAACAGAATTTATTATTTTGGGAAAAAGGTCAAAACTTCGAAACAATTGAAGCTGGTGACCAAATTTTAATCGAAGTTAAAGAAGTTTAATTTTATGGCGTTTTTGTTGACAACTATTTACTATTTTCAGCTGTGACTTTGCGCACGATATCAAAAAATTGAATCGTTACACCGGAAAATTAACTTACTTGGTCCGTTACAGCAAGCTACGAAGTGTCGAAGCTTCAATCTTTTTCAAACTGAAAGCTAGAACGTAAATTGATATGTTTTATTTTTTGCTTTGTTACAGATCATCAGTATACAATCACCAATTTCTGAAACGTCAAAAAGCTGCGTTTTTCTGCTAATTAAATGTGGTCACGATATATCAACGAAAATTTACTGTTTCCATATGAGAACAAGGATAGCAGGTTACTGTGCAAGTAGCACTGAATTTTCCGACCATAGCCATGAAAAAAGTTTTTTCAAAGTATTGTCGAGTTTTTTCGGCGTGGTGTTATAAAAGGAGCTGGAAAATATTGCGGATTAGTTATATTTATTTGCTATAGTGAAACAAGCACGTTGAAAAACACTTTTTGTTGCAAAATTACGAGAAAAAGAAGAAAAAATCGAACAAAATTTTCGAAAATGTTTTCAAGTTTTTTGAACTTTTGAAAATTTTGATTTCAGAAAGGCGCTACAATACTTCAAGTAAACTTACGTTACCCAAGTGTAACTAAGTTTTAAATGAGGCTATTGCAAGCTTTTAAGCAATTAAAAAAAGGCTGCTCGTTCGCTTTATTAGCTCGAAATAAGACAAAATATCAATAATTTCGAACCGGTTTTTCTCTACTCTGGAAAAAGTTTTTCAAATGTGGTTCGAATCACCACTGTATGGGCTATAATATGAATAAGCACTCAACCCAGTCTGTTGATTATTTATGGTACCTGACTTTGCATGGAAAACAAAAAGAAAAAGCGAAAAAAAACATATACGAATACAAAGTTCCTCCACAATTTCAATGGTCGGAACAATAAGCATTCCGGAGACAAAACGTTTCATGAAATAGCCAATACGCGAAAAAAGTGCTCTTAGAAAAGATGTTTTTTACATATTGATCAGCAACTAATGCACCAATTTTTCAAAAGAGTGATTTATCACACATCTAAAGAAACGTTTAAAACCATTTTTCTGAACCAATTTGAGAGGGACCTAAAGAAAAAGTGATACGGTAAATTGTACTTGATCGAATACTACACTGCCTGCAGACTCGAGTAATGTTTGTTATTTAATCTTTTGAAGAAAGCTGACTGGAAGATCGAATTACACCACAGTTAAAAGTTGTTTCAGTAGAACAACACTGTCTGCCTTAACCGAAAGCTCGATGACGTTCGTGGTTGATTAGTTTTCATTATTACACAAGCAAAGCTTGTGTCATGGTATGAACTCTGTTTTTTTTCAACCTAAGTCGCAAACTTTGTTGCGACAAAATCTGTTCATTTTGAAAGTGTTCATTTTGACCAATCGCCCAGCTATTAAGTACAGCCAATGTTATGGATGTTAAGACAGACTATTATATTACAAATAGCACTTAAGCTTGAAGGTATCATAGATCATCTGTGGCGCAGAGGTAGGGAAGTAGACTCGGAACAAAATGAGAGGGTTCGAACCTGGGCAGGTTCGGATGTTTTTAATGAACTTTTTCGTATACTAGTCAAAATGCGTCCGCTCTCTAAATTGAGGCATGTTATTTGGTAAAGTTCTGTTTTTCGTTCAAATTTACGGGTACTGCTAATGTGTCATAATTGGCTTGTGTCACTTGAGAGATTTCGTAGACTCAAATTTTTATTCATTCAATTTTTCCCAGTAGCGTTATCTTCATATGCTTGTGTATTGCGAAGTGCAACTTCGCCTGTGTGTTATAATATCTGCGCTCATTAATGGATATCAGTGATTCAAATCGAACCAATATGCACAAACTATTCCAAAACTATCGTTCCGTGTATTCCGAGGAGCTTGCAAGAAGTTAGATTGTAAGTTTCTGAAAAATTCTATAAGACAAGTTGTTCACTTGGCAAATAAAGGCTATTATCCGATTTGATAGCGCTTGCTTATAGGATAACATTTGCTTACTCGTATTAATCAGGGAGACCTTTAAGTCAATATCTCTTAAAGAAAAAAACTTCACAAATTGTGTTTGTTTTGACTGATGTTTAATTTGAAAATAAAAAGTAGAATAAGAAACAACCACCATTGATAAATAAACGTTTATTGAGCGGCAACGAAACCGACAGTAGTTAGCTGGACACCGAGTGAACCGATTGCAAAATGTCGCAAAAACTTTTGAGCTGTGATTTTCTAAACTTCAAAAATTAACAGATCACCACTGGAGATCTCATTTTGCTTTTCACACAACACAAAATCAGATGTCTTTTCCCCGTAAATTCCGGTAAATTTGATGCAAATTCCCCGTATTTGTTTGTTTTTGGAGCAGTTTTGAGCGATACATTGTTTAAGTTTTTTGTTTTTGGAATTCGAAACAGCAAAAAAAAATCAAAGAAAACTAGCAATATTGCAAAAAAAAGCAAAAATAGCAAATCTGTTTTCAAACTGATGCTGAATCCGCTTACAATTCACATAATACACAGTTTGGCCTCGCATTGTTCTCTTTTTAGCTACTTTTCTGTTGCAGTTTTTTTTTTTTGGTTTGCCTGCTTCGGCTATAAACTGGCGGGTTGGAGTATTTGCTCATCAATAGATTTAAGGGGGGGGGGGGGGGGGTTGAGTTTACAGATTAACAAATTGTCGAATATCAAATTGTTGTGGATCGGTGCAAGGCAAGAGATTTGTTATGAAGACTTTATCGAGATCGATGTTAATGATAATTTATCTAAAAACCAGTTGTTATTTATAGTTGTTACCAGTGAGAAAAGTATACATAAAAACAGGATAGTTCATTAGGTATGAAATTGCAGTGGTTGTTGTTTTTTTTTCTTGCTTAACAAGACACGTGCTCATTTCTCAATTCTCAACGTTTATTGGGCGGCAACTAAACCGACAGTAGTTAGCTGGACACCGAGTGAACCTGTTGCAAAATGTCGCAAAAATTTTTGAGCTGTGATTTTTAAAACTTCAGAAATTGAGAGATTACCCCTGGAGATCTCTTTTTGATTTTCACACAACACAAATTCAGATGGCTTAGCCGAGATAACTTGAGCCGAAACCAATCAAGCAGAAACAAAACAAAATGCAAAAGGAAATAATCTAAAGTTTAAAGCGAATTTGAATCACGGCCAATAACACTTGAGCAGACAGCAATTGAGAAAAAAAATGTTTTCATTAAGCAAATTGCCCATATTCATTTGTTTTTGGAGCAGTTTTGAGCGATACATTGTTTTAGTTATTTGTTTTGAGTTCGAAACAGCAAAAAAGATTCAAAGAAAACTAGCAATATTGCAAAACAATCAAAAATAGCAAATCTGTTTTCAACCTGTTGCGGAATCCGCTTAGAATTCACATAATACACAGTTTGGCCTCGCATTGTTCTCTTTTTAGCTAAACTGACGATTTTGCAAAACTGCAATTGTGAGAAAATAGAGGAAAGTGAGAGAGATTAAAATTGTTTTCAGGCAAATTGCGTGCAAAAAATAAAGTTGTTTGCAGACAACAGTTAAATTTCGGTGGCCAAAGTTTTTACAAGTCAATCATTTAAGGATAGTTGAAGCTTGAAGGGCATTGCTACTTGACAGAGCGATGGGTTCATCGGCATATTGCATAAAATTGCTGTCAACTGAAAGAATGAGATCAATTTTGCTGTTCGTGCAAATATCATTGTAGTAGGTACATTATTGGCACAAAATTTGCAAGATGACTTATTAGTTCTCAATGAGTAAGTTATTTCAAATGGAACGAGAACACTTGTTATACGTGGTAACACATGGTTCAAGATCAGCTGAGCATAACTACTGCGTTATAATAATTTCGCGAAGTTTTGGTATCGGTTTATTTGATTCAAAGATTTTGGAAATTAGTCTTTAAGTTTACCTTAAATTAAATTGAGATCTGCGAGGTAAATTGTATTTTTTTTTTGATAAAAATTAAAAATAATTTAATACACTATACTGCTCACTACAAAGTACGCGCTAAAAACAACCTATAATCTTTCAATCTTCATTGTAATTTCCTAATCACATTTCAGTCGTCCTCATAGTATATCGAAAATCAAATGTCATGCTACATTGAATTTATCATATTTTTTCTTAAAAAAGCTCTGAAAAAGATATCAGAACCATTTTTTCTAGAAAAGTCGCCATTAAAAGCTCTCACAATATCTTGAGAAAAACTGAAATCACTGAATTTGTTTCGCAAGAATCTAAACGATGACTTCTGACACTGGTTGTTGTCCGGCTGGAAGTTTGCCAGAGCTGATCGCGAACCACAAAGACCAAGGAGAGGTCATTGACCTTCCGGGGAGTGACATGAAACTGTATGTTGTCGGGAGTGGAGACAAAGTGGTTCTGCATTTCTACGATATATTCGGGTTCACCGGGGGAAGGTGAGAGCTTTTATTTTTCAGTATTTTTGTTGAAATTTAAAATTCATGTGAAAATGACATTTTACTAGAAACTTTTCCACCAAAAAAAAATCTTTTTGCAGTAAATTCTTAAAGAAGCAATCTGAGAAATGAGTTTCGAGAAGCTTTTTGATCATTATCTTATGTTTTTCAAAACTTCCGGTCGCCCAATTTTTTGAACTATTATTTTCTTTTTAATTTAATGAACTAATGTTTTCGCCATTATTGAATCATTTTATTTTCGTTTTAAAACGTTTCATCAGTTGTTTTTTTTCTGCAGAACTCGCTTCATTTGCGACCAGTTGGCCAAGCAGGGCTATAAAGTGGTGATATTGGATTTGTACAGAGGAAAGACATGTGCCGGGCTACCCATGACTCCCGAATCCCTCATCCCATTCGTGAAACAGTTCACACCAGAAAAAGTGACTTGTGATTTCTTTTTTGTTGAAGCATGACAAAAGTTTGACAGGCCACCGCTGCTAAGTTCCAGGAAATGTTTTAACACTAGCGCCACACAAAATTAAAAAAATCTAATTGCTAATTGTCTTCTCTTGTATAATTCCCACAAGTGCATTTATTTTGACCCCCTTAAATTCGCTCCCCAATACGAAATTCGACCACTTCAAAGCGCTGTTTTTATCTCAAATTGTTCGTTGACCAAATTTAAATGGTTAAAAGCACTTTTCGGTTTCTTACAAATGTTTGAAATTGTTCCTATCAATTTGATACTTGAATTTTCAGTTTGTGGAAGACACCAAGGCCACCATCGAGTTCTTGAAATCTGAGGGTGCGGCCAAAATTGGGGCCACAGGGACCTGCTGGGGCGCGTGGGCCATCTTCCACTGCTGTGCCGCTGGACTCGCCATCGACTGTGGTGTGAACTACCACCCATCGGTTAAACTGGAAGAGACGTTCGGAGGGGATCTGGTGGAGCTGGTCAAAAAGGTTAGTTAAGTTACAATTTTAATAGTTATATTTTAGATATCCTATACAAATAACTATAGAAATCAATACCCTAACTTAAGAAATCAAATGAAAAAGAAGCCCCGAAATTCAAGCGGTAAACTGTAAACAAGCAATTTCTTGAGGCGAACGCAGCAAAATGGCAGGAATTTAACAAGAAATAACCAGTCATTAGGTCCCCAACAAATTTTTTTCAAGCGACTCACTTGAAAGGGGAATTCAAAAAAGAGCGAATTTCAAATTGCGAAAGAGTGTGAAAAAAAAAGAAATTCTTTTTTAAACAAAATCGAGCTGACTAAAATAATTTCTATTCAGCTTCAGGTTTAGTTGACTTCAAATGCCTCCTTTCGTTTAAAGGTCAAGGTACCCCAACTGATGCTACCTGCTGGCAATGACCCCGATAACGTCAAACCAGGTGGAGAGGTCATCAAAATCCTGGAGGGAAATGGGGTGAACGTTGAGGTGAAGGAATACCCCAGACAGGTTCATGGCTACATGGCTAGAGCCGACATGTCTGACCCAGAGAGTGTAAAGGACGTTGAGGACGCCACCTTCACAGCCTACGCGTTTCTGGCTAAATACTTGAAATAAGTTGACCTATTTCAATCTTTAATTTTACAGAACAGCGTCGAAAATATAATTTGGTTAATTTTGATTTGAAAAGATTCGTAATCATAATAACAGCATATCAAAAAATCTTTCTAAGTTTATTGTTATGGAGAAAATTTTGGGCTTATTGTATTCTTTGATTATTAATTGTGCATGCTTAAAAAATTTAAAATTCCGAACTTGATATGCACCAAAGAGATTTGAGACCATTTGAAAAAGTCCTATAAACAGGGGCGTATTAAGGAGGCGAGGGGGCTTCAACCCCTTCATCGCGCCTAAAGAGCTTCTCATTGGGTACTGCTTTAGGCCATCCGACGGACTGATCAGTCGAACAACTTTCAAGGCTTTTTTGAGGGGATGGGGGAGAAGGAGAAAACTTCTAATCAAAAATCCCAATACTCTTTATTTTGAAAATAAAACCAGTAAGAAAAAAACGTTTCCACGAACATATGACATTACGTTTGCGATTAGCTAGATTTATCTAATCGGTTAGATTTTTTAAGATTAACAAATTGTCGAAAATCAAATTGTTGTGGATCGGTGCAAGGCAAGAGATTTGTAATGAAGACTTTATCGAGATCGATGTTAATGATAATTTATCTAAAATGCAGTTGTTATTTATAGTTGTTACCAGTGAGAAAAGTATACATAAAAACAAGTTTTTTCATTAGAGATAAATATAATTTTTGTTCACGTGTACTGTGTAGCATGGCATTAATGGATAGGGTTGAGTATTATCATGAGAATCTATCATGGTTGACACTTTGTGCCAGTTGGTTAAACTCAACTGAAACTAAAGATACATGAATTGAAATATAATCGCTCCCGAACCAATTGAATCAGCTTCAACAGATCAGGTAGGATTATCACATCCTCTCTCTTTTTCTAAGAAAATCTGTCGATATAGGATCTCCTTAGTTTTTCGTTGGTTTCCTGAAACTTGAAACATCGTTTTGGTTTGTCTGAGACCGGTTCAGAATGATCGTCTGGAGTTGGTGAAGGTTGTTCTTCATTTTCATGTTGCACTGGAGTTTCATCGTCGACAATGTCACTCCTTCCATCGGTGGTAGTGGTCTCTTGAATGTGTCTCGCAATCTGGTTGTCGCTTACAAGAACAGACCGTTCTGATTGATTGGGTTGGATCCACGATGTTTTGGTTTCATGTCAAAAGTTGACGGCTGTGCTTCGGTATCTTTATTCGGCTTGAAAAGATTTTTTTTCACGATGAAATTTTTTTGCAATTTTGCCGAAGAACTTGGCTCCATGCAAATTGTGGAAAATTGTCTCCATGTCGGATTATGGAATGTCTTACTTTAATGGAATGTTGTACGTCCATTACTTTGCCATTGAGGTGAACTTTGTAGTCGGCACAAAATCTGAGGCACACCATTTTTCTTTCTCTGCCACACGACTGATGATGCATTGGTAACTCCTCCGGGCGGATCTAACTCGAGAACTCCCAGCCTGACCATGTCCTGTAGCTTTGCTTTTACTGCTTCTTGCATCAGCTACGCGTGCTTTGCAGAACAGTGGTCGGGCTCGAGGCCTCAATTTCACCTGGCCCTTGTATCCTTTGAATGTCGGCAATGTCCCTGAGAGCCCATGTGTCGAATACTGGGTTGGTAAGAGATCGCGTCCGAGAATTGCAAAACCCTTGTTTGATCGTACAACTGCCAGTGGTAGCTTTAGCAGATTCGAACGCTCCATGTCAGGTCACAATTAGCTGTTCCTTTGAAGTAGAGTTTGTGTCCATCGTGTGCTTTTAGAGTCCAAGCAGTTCCATTTAGAGTAGATCTTACAAGTTTCACCAGATGCACGACAATATCGCTGTTGCATCAGTACCTGTGTCTACCTGCATTTTCACCTCAGTTGCATCAATGCCGACACTTTTCCATGTGGCAGCCATGAGTATTGATGCAAAAAAAACATTCTCATTTTAGTGCCGTTCTCAGAGTTTCCCCTTCCACCTCTGAGAACTGACCCCCATCAGCATGGTGCTTGACGCTCCTATTAAGACAACTGTTATTTTTTTGTTGTTGCCTAACTTCCTTCGACACTTTATTGAAAAGAGTCCTATCTTACCGCATGAGATACATTTCTTACCCGTTGTAGGACAAGACTTATCCCCAGTGCGGTCTTCCCCGTAGTTTGAACATTCTGAATTTTGAAATTATATGCTTGGTTAACATTTCCTGATTTTCTGAAGGTTGGCTTGAAGTTATATGCAATTTCTTCTTTAATATTAATCTTGGACATCCCAGCAAAATGCTGTGCTTGCTCACTAATTTGTAAAACAGTTGTCTTATTAGTTAGACTTATGTATGTTTTAACTGCCTGTTGATCTTTATCCCGAGTTAACATCATTTGTATTATCTTGTCTTCCGCATCAGCGGTGTTTTCAAGTTCTGAAAACTTACAATACCGACCAGCTTCAGGAAGTCCTCCAAGAAAGTCGTCGTAAGATTCTCCTTGATTCTAAATTGTCAATAGGAAAATGGCTCATTCAGCAACGACCACATGTTCTCTGGGTCTGCAGTAGTTTCGCACCACAGAGTGATTCTCATCGCCAGTCATTGGGCGGAGCCTTTATGACAAAACAGGACTCCTCAATTTCCAGATTGTTTGCACTCTGAATCGACTAAGGAAGGAACTCGTCCTCTGAAGTCTGCGGGATTCGTTCCGTCTGCAGTTTTGTTGATTTTCTTCTCTGAGCGTGCCTTCCCAAGAAAAGCAACCAGAGAAGCCATTGACTCTTCAGGGTGCGAAAGCTCTAATGAATCGTTCAATTTATTCATTTCAAGTTTCCAGTCTGGACACCACTGCCTGAATGGATCGGTACAACGCAAGAGATCTGCTCTGAAGTTTTTTGAGATCGATTCTAATGATAATCTACCTAAAGTTTTGTTTTTATTTACAGTTGTTATCAGCGGGAAACCTATACACAAAAACAAGATATGACATTAGGCACAAATGTCTTTTTTTCACGTGTTCCCATTTTTAGTAACTTTTTACCAAAAAAACTTTCAACATTTATAGCATTGTATTCATGGATAGTATTGATTAGTATCTTGAGAATCTATAAAAATTGACATATTGTGACTTAACGGATAGTAAATAGATTCAATAAATATAGAATCGCTTCTGAACCATTTTAATACGATTCAAGAGATCAGGTTGGTTTATGTACAAGTATTTTAATTGTTTAAATATTTGTAAGTTTTATTTTGTAATAATAGTGGAAATTATTTCGACCTTCCAAATAGTTTTTTTAAGTGTTGTTATAAAAAAGTTTGACCTTGTTTTTGTTGTTCAGTTCATTCATCAATCCCCAAGAGTTTGTCTTTTGGTACTGTTTTACGTCTTCCGACTGGAGACCCATCCAACAGTTTTCTTACCTTTTTGAGCGAACAGGTAGAGGGAGAAGGAAAAAACCTCCTATCGGAATTTTCAATAATGCAGCGAGGAAAAATTTTTCACGAATGATCTTCACGAGCCAGCGAGAAAGAATATTTCAAATGAATTTATGATGATTATGCTTGCGATTAAGAAGTTTCTTCAAATCGGGAAGCGGTTTGTTTCAGGTTAACAACTTATTCAACAAATTCATAGACTCAATTTGTAAGTTTTCTCATGATCAAAATCAAAATCAGCGTCTCAAGTTGCACCTTTGGTAAAGAATTAACGTCAACGTCCATGTCTGGGACGACAAAAAATCGGCCTTCAAATCTGACTTAGGGGAAGGAGAAAACATCTGATTAGAAATCCCGATACCCTTCTCTTATTTGAAATTGAAGCCAGCAGAAAATATTTCCATAATATAAGATTATTACGTTTCCGACTTTCAAGCTTTACTCAGAGGAAAAGCGGGGCTTTGAGACATTTACGATACAACACAAGGATAGCGTAGTTTCTTAGCAGACAGAAAGTGAGACCGAAGCAACAAAGTTGAGGAGTTTTTTCACTTTTTGATTTTTTGTCTTGTTTTGAAATTTTTTGAATTTTCTGGAAAACTACTTTCCCAAATTTGGGATTAAGTGTTTCATTAAAAAACCCGGGTGAGGGTGTTTTCTCAGCATAACTGGCTACGCCTAAAAAATTGTAGAAAAAGTTAGGTCCTCAAAAATGACAATTTTTTGACATTTTGACCGTTTTTTATAAAACTCTTTGGTTTTTCCGAAAAAAATTCTTGGAAAAAGGTGGGAGAATTTTCCCTGTAGAAGCCTTTTTAGAAAAACTGAAATGATCTTATGAAAAAACAAATATTCTAGACTTTCATGGTTTTTGGTTGCTTTTTTCTCAAAATGTGCAATGTCAACGCTAGAAAAGCCTGTGTGAACTAAAAAAAATCCATTTTTTGAAACCTATTAGAAAAAAATCAAACAGTTCCAACACTTGAGGTCATTATTGATTTTAATTTTTTAACATATGTAGCTAAATTGACTAAATGTTTTGCGTTTTTGAAATAATGACTAGAAAGAAAGTTGAAGGTTATTCTGAAAAACACGCCAAATCTTTTCGACGGTCAAAAATTTTTGTGTTTTTTTTTCATGTATAATATTTTCTAATAATAACAAAAATCGTAAAAAATTTTAACGATTTCGATTGATAGTTTGAGCTCATTTTTTCAGAAATCCATTCCACACATGTCTCGAACTGTCAAGAAATTAGATGTTGTTACCAGAAGAGGACTTGAAGCAAGTTCTAAAACTTTGGGAACCAAAATCGAGCCAATCAATTTATTCAGCAAAGCTTTTGAAATTGTTTCTATCTCGTTAAAACAAACCCAAGAAAATTTAAAAGCATTGTCTGCAAAATGCGTGCAATTAATTTTTTCAGAATGAAAAAATTATTTCTGTTTCTCGAAGAATTTATGCTCGGTTATGCTAGGTTAAAAGAATGGTAAATAAAAAAAATAATGTTCTGATGTATTTTCATATTAGTGGGAGAAAAAAATTATCAGAAGTAAGTTTGAGCTAAAACTTACTTTGAATCCAAGAAGCCCATGAACAAAAAGAAAAGTGATTTGTTTTGAAAATCAATGAAGCAACAGATTTTTTTTTCACAACTTAGTTTGAATCTAAGAAACCCCCTGAACAACAAAAAAAATGATTTAATTTTGAAATATAATCATTACATTAACAGATTTTTTATTGAAACTTAAAAAATGCAAAACGATAAAAACAT